GGCCGGCCGAAAGCGCCTCCGCCGGGGCCACCCTGCGGCCGCTGCTGCTGCCGGGACACGGCGCCCGGGACGCGCACAGCCCCGGGGCGCTGGTCAAGCCCTTCGAGACCGCCTCGGTCAAGTCGGAAAACTCGGAAGACGGAGCGGCGTGGATGCAGGAGCCCGGCAGATACTCGCCGCCGCCGAGTGAGTGCGCGCGGGAGGGGACGGAGGGGTCCCCGAGGGAGCCGGGGCTGGTTTCCAGGCCGGGGGCGCAGGTCCCCTCTGCGCTGTGCGCCCTGGGAAGCAGGCGCAGCTGTTTGGGGTCCCTTGTTATGCCTCCAGAGTTGAGCGCGCCGGCCGCATCCAGGACGCCCCGTGGGCACTGGCCGCGCAGCGCGTGATGCGGGTGCCCTCGCCGTGCGGCGTCGCACCCGGTTGCGGACTCGCGGGTGTGCGGAGGGCGAGCCCCAGCTGGGTTTGCGGGGGCGCTGCCTTATCGGTTTCTCCAGCCCCCAGCCCTGCGCTTCGGCCACTTCTTTTAGTTTTGTTTCACTGCCCCACCGGGGTCTCTTGCCTGGGGAGTGCAGGGGGCGTCAAGGTCACCGCCCTGCGAGGTGTGCCACCTTTTAAAGATGAGCCCACGGAAATCTAACCCGATATTGGATGGAAAACATTGTCTTCCGTGGGTCCCGCGGGCGTCGGAAGCGGGGTCTCGCGGAGGGAAGGTGGCAGAGACGGATGCGTGGAGGAAACGCCGTCCCCGCGGCCGGCACCGCGCGGCGAGGTCCCGGCTTCGCTGGGAGCGGGCTGGGGTGTGACGCGCGGGGGCTCCGCGGGGCGCACGGGAATCATTAACCGCATTCCAGCGGCGCTGGGCGCGCACAGACCCCAGTCGTCGCGGGAACCCCGAGGTGCAGGCAGAGGCAGGGGACCTGCGGCGATGCCCTTTCTCAGACCCCCGGGCTTTATCTTTAAGAGGACCGGCTTGCTTGCCGCCGGTCAGCAGCAGCGGCCGGATGGGGCTGGGGCCCCGGGGTCCTGGCCCCGGCCGCCGCCGCGCCTTCTCCCCGGAGAGACTGAGCGGAGGTCCGTGCACCTGCACCCCGCTTCCTGCCAACGAGGCGGGAGGGCGCAGAGCCGGGCCCAGGAGGGCCAAGGGCTCCTCCAACTTGAGCATCCATTTTGGGGCCCGGGATCCTTTTGCAATTTGGAGAAGTCGTCCCCCAGAACTCCTTTTACTTCCATCTCCTGGTCTTGAAGGGTTTTCTACCCCCCAGTGTCCCTCTGGGAAAGCTGGGCAAGAGGGGGCCTGTGGAGGGACTTTTTCCAAACCCCGGGACAACCGCATAACTATCCGTTTCTATCTGTCGACCCTGGAGGCTGGAGATGCACAGTATTTTGTGAACAAAATGAGGCCCTATCTATACCCAGGCAGGCGTCAGTGGCTGTCCCCTCTGGCATGTCTCTCCACCCTGATAGAAACTCTAAAAGATTCAAAGGGTGTGGAGATTAAGGGCTCAGAGAATTTAAACACTAGTTTGCTCGGTGCTTTATAGCACTTTTAACCGTATTATCTTATCTGATCTGTGTGGCAGCCGCCGGCCTCCTAGGAACAGATGAGGGCATTGCTGCAGAGTCCGGAGGAATCTACACACGAGTTTGGGCTTGACGGAAAAACGTGGGGAACACTGAAGGACGGGGCCCTGGGCATTCTAACATTTATCACTGAGCCTCACTGCGGGATCAGTATTATTTTCCCACTTTATTGATGGGGAAATAGAGGCTCATAAACTTTAAGGGACTTAATATTCTTGACAAATACCGTGTGCCCACGGATTCCTGGGCCTGGGTCAGTGCCCCGCGGCACATCAGGGTTTCAGGCCTTACGGGGACCCGTGTCCAGAGGTCAGAAATCCCACTCCCTTAGGCCTCTGGGTTCTGGGATGGCAATTCCCCACTTAACTCTGTAAACATCCCTACCACCAAGTGTAATCCAGCTTCCCTGCTGAGCAAGTCCGCCTTGGGCCCTGGGTACGGCCTTCCCATGAGGAAAACCGGAGATTCCGAGAAAGGATTGAGTTTTAAAACAAAACGTGGGTGACTGGTGCTTGGGGCCTGCAGATGGCCAGGGGAGCACTGAGGCAGGAGCCTTGGGTTCTGGGAGCTCCCCGCTAGGGAGCCTGGGGCGGGAGGGAGCCACCCGCCTAGGCCCGGTTTTGTTATTGAGAGGAAGTAGGATAAATGCTGTTTTGCTTTGTATAATCGCATCCTTCCTCTGGCTGGTTTAAAATGGGGGACGGGGAGGGGAGTGGTGGGCTGGGAGGAAGCCTCCTAACTTCACGGCTTTGATGCACGTGTGGGATCCCCCGTCTCCTGGATTTCATCATTCAAACGCAGCCCCAAGGAGCAGCCCGAGGGACCGCGCCGGGAGTCGCAGTTGCCTCCAAACTTAGAGCAGGATCAGACGGAGACACCGGGAGCTGGGTGTCTGGGCCCCCGCGGCTGGGTCCTCCAGAGAGCCAGGCCAGGTTTGGGAGGGCTGAGGATTTCACACAGTCCTGGAGCCTCAGACGGGGTGGTTAGTTTATTTGTAAATTAAAGAGCAGGTGCCCTGGTTTACTTAGGGATTAGCATATGCAGAAGGTAGACTTCTGTGGTCACCTCTCACCCACCCCTCTCCCAGACTTCTGGTTCTCTGATTGATTGCAGAACCCACTGCCTCTTTCTTTTTAGTCACTTAAAGTGATGGTTAATCATGTCACACCGGGACAGCTCTATTGCTTGTTGGAAATGGAGGCTGGGTTGGGACTTGTGCTGTGTCACCCTCAAGTATGAAGTGTAAACTCTTTCTCGGGCCACCAAAGTAACAAAACAAGAAATGCGACATTCTCCCCTTGAGTCCTCTGGAGTTATTACTGTGGCTACATCTGGAAAATTAGCATAGCTCATAAAAGCCAAATACAGCAAATTAATTGTTTAGCAATCTGCCCCCCAGCCCCACACTCCTCCCCCCTCCCCTTGAGGAAAAGAAGCCCAAAGTGAGCTGATGCGGGAACCACAGGGTGCCCGGGCCTGTGACTTCCTATAATTGAATCCGGTTTAAACATGGGGTCTGGACGCTGCTGGCGCACCTTTATTTCGCTTGTTAGTCTCTCTTTCTAAATCCTGGCGACAAACTAATCATTTACACGTTGGCCTCAGGCCACAGAATGGGCAGAGATGACTGAGATGTCATCACATGCTCCAAACTCGGAGGCGGCGTGATTTCCCCTGACGTTTACATTTATGGGCGAGCTAATTTTTCTCTCCTTCTTAGTAAAGTTTATATTACAGAAGCGCCCGGCCAAAAAGCCCACCCCACATCTGTAAGATGTGCAGGCTTTATAGTCTGCAGGCTGGATGGAATGACAGCTGTGCTGGTTTACTGCTGGGGCTGCTCCCCCGGCGCAAGATGCTGCTAATTTGCCACAGGCCTTATCTGCGCCCTCGGCCTGCGTCGGTCAGTCAGCGCGCCCCTGATACAGTCCAACTTGTCCTGTGGCAGAGGGGGGCTGACCACCTTTTCCTGAGACCCTCTTCATTTTATTTCTCATGTGTGATTATGTCGGCATCCAAGGGAGGTGAGGGTTATTCTGAACCCAGCCCCCAATTCTATTGATTTTTTTTTCTTTTTTAGGGGAAGTAGGGGAGAGGGAGAGAGAGAGAAACATCGATTTGTCGTTCCACTCATTTATTCATTCACTGGCTGATCCTTGTACGTGCCCTGACTGGGGATCAGACCCGAAACCTTGGCTTTTTGGGATGACGCTCTAACCAATGTCTACCCGGCCAGGGCCCCAAGCACCCATTATAAAGACGAGAGAAATTAAGCTCAGAGGAGGTGGGGTTTTGTTCTCAGAGATGACTCAGGAGGGGTCTGGTCTGTTCCTAGGTGTTTGAGTTCCATCACTCTAAGGCTGTTTGTGTCCATACAGAAAGTTCTGTTATGCCATGAAATTGCCAAACATTTTGTTAAAAGCCTCAGTTTTAAAAAGTAAAGTCATTTATTTATTTAAATATGGTCCTCTCTACCCCCACCCCACCCCCAAAAAACAACCACCCCACCCCTGGTTTTGACAGAGGTGTCTCTCTGTAAGGTGAGGAGGGAGGCCTCGCGCGCGCCTGGAGCGGGGCCCACTCGCGTTGCTAACTCGCTCGCTCTCTGCCCCGCAGGACACATGAGCCCCACCACCTGCACCCTGCGCAAGCACAAGACCAACCGCAAGCCGCGCACGCCCTTCACCACGTCGCAGCTCCTGGCGCTGGAGCGCAAGTTCCGGCAGAAACAGTACCTCTCCATCGCCGAGCGCGCCGAGTTCTCCAGCTCTCTGAACCTCACAGAGACCCAGGTCAAAATCTGGTTCCAGAACCGGAGGGCCAAGGCGAAAAGACTGCAGGAGGCAGAACTGGAAAAGCTGAAGATGGCTGCGAAGCCCATGCTGCCCTCCGGCTTCAGCCTCCCGTTCCCCATCAACTCGCCCCTGCAAGCGGCGTCCTTGTACGGGGCGTCCTACCCTTTCCACAGACCTGTGCTCCCCATCCCGCCCGTCGGACTCTATGCCACGCCAGTCGGATACGGCATGTACCATCTCTCCTAAGGAAGGCTGCTCAGGGGACTCCAGGACGGATGCTTGTTTCAGTGCCCCCGCCCCCTCCAGGAAGCAGTGCCAAGCCAGCACCCCCTCTGCAGACCTCGCGCGCACCCCCTAAGCAGTGAGGCTCACAGCCGCAGACCCCGCTCAATTCGTTCTTTAGGCTGGACACGCATCCAGACGCTCCCTTCTTTCCCAAAGATTGGCTCGGACGGTTTTTATATATAAATATATATAATAAAATAGAACACATTTTTATACAGCGGACATAAAAAGTCAAATTATTTTCAAAGGCAAACTTTAGATACGTGTGTGTATATATATATACTTTTTTTTATATATATATCACCTAAAAGAGACTGCTGAAGTTCATTTGGTTTTTTTTCTTATAGGGGGAGACAAGCTATTTTCTAAAATTGCTGAAATTTGGTGGAACGATTGGCTTTTTGCTTAAGGAAAACAAATATTAGAATTAGACACAAAGTGCGTAGGCAATAGATGTGGAGAGATTCCTCCAAGTGACAGGGACACCTCACGTGTTTGCAGTCTTCAGGCATTATAAAAACTAATTAGATGCTACCGTATTTGGCCCTATCCCCCCTCCCCCCTCCCATGGCTACATTGTTACTCAGATTGTTACCCAGTTAAAATTCTAAATCCCCCCTCCCCCTTCCCATGGCTACATTGTTACTCAGATTGTTACCCAGTTAAAATTCTACTTTTTTTTTTTTGTAAGATCAATAAAAGGGGGCTGAGAAGACAGCTAGCCTCGGGCTAAGGTGGAAGATGGGAGGACTTCCTAATTCCTCCCCAGGCTGTTGCTTAACTGCATTTCAGATCACGGAAGAGGAATTGAGGGTTTCTGTGAAAGGCGAGGTACCTCAGTCCTCACACTGCAAAAGTGATTCGGGGGGAGGGGTGTAGTTAATTCTCTGCTTTGAAAAATGTCTTGTAACCATTTACCTATATGCTAAATATTCTTGAACAATGACTAGATCCAGAAAGGAAAAAAAAAAAAATCATGCTTTCTCTGTGTGTGTACCTATTGTATGTGCTAAACGTATTAGGGAAATTTATATACTTTTTTAACCTGTTGGGGGCAGAGGGTAAGGCCGTGCTTTGACTTGCTGAAGAGGTGTCCCCGCCGCCCATTTAGCTCCCTGGTATTTCATCTTCCCGCCCATCTCTGCCCTCCCCCGCCCGCATACGTCATCCCTTTGAAAGGGTGTCTTGTATAATTTTATATATTTTATTGAAGAGTTATTTCTTATCTCTTATTCCGAATTAAATTAAACATTTGTTTTATTGCAGTAAAGTTTGTCCAAGTTCGGTTCTTTTCAGAGGCATTCTCGCTCTGTTCTTAGTTGGGCTTAGCTCGAAAATGCCACCCAATTGGCTGGGGTGGGGGGCGCGAAGCTGGTGATTTTTATTATTATTTTAATGTGAATCAAGAGTTGTGCCCAGATTCACTGGGGGGAGGGGGGGAGTCCGTTGAAAACAGCAAAATACTTTGAGATGTTTCCTCCGCAGCTTGGATCGCTCTTGGAAAAGGAGGGAAGTTTTTCTTAGGGGAGAGAGAGGCGGTGGGGCCGAGGGGCCGGACGGGCCGGCCAGCATCCGAGGGCTTTGTGGACGAGCAAGGGAAGGTCGTGAACTTGAAACTTCCCATCTATGGAAACAACAAGCTTAAAGCTGAGGAGGGGAACCTGTGGTCCTTTGCAAACGGGGGCGGTAAGTAGATGCTCTGTGCGGAGTGTGTCGAATCGGCTCCCTTGGCCATTCCCAGCTCCTTCCCAGGACAGGGCCCCCGGCAAATACTCTCTTCGGTGGTGATTGTTAGGGGACAGCAGTTCATTCCAGTCCCCTTTGCTTTCTGGCCTCTTTCCACTGGCTACAGAACCGGGGTCAGGCCCAGGCTTCAGGCTTCACTATTAAAATAAATGGGTAATGGGCAGGGGAAGCTGAGAAGCATCTTAAATTCTGCTTTTGTTGTACAAATAAAGGAGAAGTGCCTTCGGATGCATCACACCTTCCCCAGACCCGATGAGAAGCCCCTGCGACCCTGGAAATGGGGCTGAAGGGAACCGAGAACTGGCGGAAATTGCTCGGTGGGGAGACCAGCAGCTGGCGCATACTAGGACTAGCGCTTTTGTCCCACGGTTTTTTTTTGAGGACACCCACTGTGAAAGTCGGGCGGTGGCTCCCAGGGGTCGGGCCGCGAGCCTCAGAGGTCTCACAGCCCCAGCGCAAAAGTGATCCAAACCCATAATCTGCTCCGAGCTGGAGATGGTTTCTTCCCGCTCGGCTGCTCCATTCTCGAGCTGAGCCCACGGAGTGTCCCAAACCTCCCCAAGAGTGCGCCTTTGCCATCCGGCTGGGCCTCCCCAGTCCAAACTCTGAATCCCAGCCCGGAATCCAGCCTCCCCCATTTAAGAGATGCGTCTACCAAAGCCCAAAGCCCTCCTTGGCTCCGCCATCAGCCCCCAAGTTCTGGTCTCCAATTAGCTCGTCCACCAAGCTTCCCAGCGCCGCTGGGACCCCGCAGCCTCGGGTGACCCGAGCCAGGGTCCGGGGTCCGGAGACGTCCTCGGCTCAGGTTAAGGCTGGGTTTGCCCCAGAAGGAGTCGTTAACCAGAGGGCGATTCTGAGAAATGCGGCTGCGTCCCGCGTGGCCCGAGGGTGGATTGAAGACCGCCTGGTCTGCACGTTACTCCAAGAGCCCGAAATCCCAAAGAAAAACAAGCCTGAGGAAGGGGAAAGAGCTGCTCAGGTTCAAACACATGCACCCCAGCGCTACTAGGAGGGTGGGGTTCCTGAGCTGAGGACTGCGCCGCGCTGCGGGGCCCAGCCCTGGGGAGAGATCCCCGGGGCCAGCGGCGCGCCTGGCCCTGGAGCTGCGCTCGGTGTCCTCGGGTCCCCGCCAAGGGAAGGCCTGTTGTGCCTTCAGAGACCAGACCAACAGCTGTGGCGGCAGGGGGACCCCGACTCACCAAGGACCCCGCAGCCTGGGTAATTCAAGCCGAAGATGCCCTGCCTGCGGCTTTGGCCATCCTGGCCTGGGCTGCCAGAGGCCTGGCACGCACACCCACTCACCCTCCCATCCTTTCAGCGCTGCATCCATAACTTCCCGGGGAGGCAGCTCTGCTTTCGGAAGCAGGGAAGAAAGGGGCGGATGTCCTCTGCTGAGCTCCTGCTAAGTGCGGGACCGGGCATTTTCTCAGCCACCCCGTTCAGGGAGAGCGTACCCCACGGGAGGTGTTATCCCGATGCTTACGGTTCGGGGAAACTGAGGCTCAGGGAGGTGGCTCCCTGAGGGCACAGCGCCAGTCAGTGGCAGCCTCAGGATTCAGCGGGTGGTGGGCATGAGGGTTGGCAAAGGCCAGCCACGCAGGAGCCTCCAAGACCCCACGCAGGGCCCGCAGAGCTGTCCAGATCCCGCAGCCCCGAGAGCCCAGGTCAGGGGCCTCCCTCTGGATCCCCTTTCCCACCCCTAACTGCTGTGGGCGCTTCCTAGCCAGCACCCCACTTCTCTCTCCCATGGGACCTGGGGCCCAGGCTGACCATCGACCCCGTGGAGCCCTGGGGAGGCGACGCCAGGGCAGGGCCGGCAGGTAGGCGGGGAAGGCCTGGCCCAGCGCGGGCCGGACGCAGGCGGAACGCAAACCGGCCGCCTGGCCCGGCTGAAAAGAGGAGCCCTGCCTTTGAGCAGAGCCTCGTCGGCCGAATGAAAACTCCCACGGCCATTCTTTGCTATAAAAGCCGCTCATTTGCCACGGGTTGGAGAGGCCGTTCCCCCCCCTCCACTGCTGGGTTTGGAATAAACATAACCCTCCTGTATAAAGGAGCCCCGTCTTTCTCCCTCTCACACCCTCCCCGGGATCCCAGGGCCCGGCTGGCGGAGTTGATCGCGCCCGTCTCCCCTCCACGTTGAGTAGAACAATCCTCTCCAGATCGGCGATGCTGAGGGCATCTTTAATGAAGCGGGTCGGAGAGCAGCGAGGGAAAGTCGGCCGTCAGGTCCTGGACCCCTCTCCCCCTCTCCCACCCCCAAGCCGCTCTCACCTCCTCCCTGCTAGGAACTAAATAAAAAGCAGGGAAAATTACTTTCCGAAATAGCCCTGCTTCAAAGCAGAGCGAGAGGACCGGGCCGCGGGAATCCTGAACCCTGCCCTGATAAGGTTCGTAATAATCAAATCCAAACCCCCTCCACCTCCCGCGACTCCCTCCAGCCTCCTCCGGACCCCTCAGCATTTGTTGATGAAAACACTTTGATGTCCCAAACAATTATTATTATAATTTTAAACAACCTGGTATTTTCCATTACTAACGGCTCGGGCTTTGAAGTTACACCTCATAATTTCCTAAATTAAATAAATCATTTTAAGTTTGCACTGGGAGGCTTTTAATAGCAGAGAAAGGAATATCATTATCTTATTGAGACCCAATTGCGGCGGCTCCAGCCTGGCTGTAGCTGGGGGCAAAGTAGACTCGCTCTAACAGACATACTTTATTAACCTCCCATAACTCTTGAAAGAACATTTTTATATTTTCTTTGATTTCCCCCCTCCCTCTCTTGTTTTAAAGCTGTCCCAACCTTTAATTAGTGCCTAATATGAAAAGCATTATTTTTTTAATGCTATGTAATTTACCAGCGGCAACAGGCCAACTGAACAATTGTTTATTAGAGTTGGTTTTTCACACAGGGCAAAGAATGCCGCTCCAAACCCAACTTTTCATGGGTGGTTGCACTAATTAATACAGTGTCTGAGGCTCCTGGGGGGTTTAATATTGAAGCCCACGGGGGCGGAAGGGGGTTTTAGAAGTCCGGCTTCTGCCCGGCGTTCTCTCTTGGATTTCTTTCATGCTGTTTTGATCCTGTCTGTGGAGTCAGCACAGACAGAAACTGTTCCCTGGCTCCGGAGGCTCCAGGGAACCCCAGGCAAAGGCCCGGAAACCCCCAGTACCTCCAACTTGTGGTTTAAGGCTGGGGGGGGGTGGCGGGCCAGGCTCGGGGTGCAGGGAGCCCACTGTTCCCTCGGGGCTTGGGGGCAGGGGCGCCCCTCTTGCAGCCTGGAGGGGAAGGCGCTGGCCTGGGGCTGGGGTTGGGCTGGAGTCAGGCTGTTGGGGGCAAATGCCAGCTCCCCCCCAGGGCACCAGGCTCTGGGCATGGAATTGCCCCAGGCCCGCAGGGGCTGGGGGGTGAAATCCAGGAGTGACCCCGGGTGGGACCCAGGGAGCCAGGCCGGCTTCTTCCTTCTGTATTTCCACACTCTTTTGTCTCCATTTCCCGGCCTCGGCTTCAGCCCTCACCCCTTTGCCCCCCTGCCCAACTTACCCCCTTTTCTCTGCGTTTCCTCCCTTCATTCTTTTCCTGTCTGTCCCACTTTATGTCGTTTTAAACCTCTGATTTTCCACCTTCCCGCCGTCTGGCCAGCTCCCTGCCATCCCTCGCCCCTCGCTCCCTCGCCTCTCCACTCCGCTCCCCTCTCCTCCAGTCCCTCGACCCCCCTTCGCCTCCTAATATTGTTCGGATTTCTATTTATTCCTGTCCCCCTG